ATAATCTATAAACTATGTAAAAATATTAGGAAAATTATAAAATATAATATAGAGCTAAAAATAAATATATACTAATACAGGAAAAAAAATAAATTCTATTACAGTATACTGCTTGTTCTAAGATTTACTAGATCATGTAATTTATTTCAGCATCAGTAGATGCTGAAATACAATTATATAGTTATGATTAAAATCGAATTATGTATGTATAATTTAACAATGAATTGATCACTGATGTAATCAGGTAATTGTTTTATATAAAAAAGGGTTGGTTATTAATTCAATCTTTCTCTTTTACTTTGAACAATATAACGATTACAGGTCTAAAATGAGTCACAGGAACAAGAAGAATATGACAAAATGAAATACGAAAGTAACTTTTAGTACTACAGGATACTAGTTAAGAACTCAAGAAAAGCTTTAGAACTTAATGGAGTCACTTTATTCATGATGATTTTTGTAGCATTTAAATACATTTTTGTTTACTAATATTTACTTTGCACTTTTCTACAGTATATACTATATATGCTCTATTCGTCATATTTCATCTACCGAATCTACCATATCTGCTATTTCTGGCAGATGTGTTACTGTTTTCTATCATTTCTGCCATATCTGGCAGATTTGGTCAATGTTTGGGTCAATCAACCCAAGCCATCTTGTTGTCGATCTTGGACAAATTTTCTTTCTTACAATGTACGTATGTATATACATAGTAACTTTTGATAGAAAAATTTATCAATTCTGTATTAAATCAGTATAGCCTTGGATAAGTTAAGATTACCTGCATAACAATTATACAAGTAATAATTTATCTTGAACAGCTAAATAAAGTATCAGAAGGAATTGCCATTCTTTATTCACAAATATGTAAAAAATATTAAAACTTGTTTATGCATATGTTTTAAATAGTAATTAAACTTGTTATGAAGCATAAACAAACAAATACAAAAAAAATATATATTTTAAATTGAAAGTTCTGTGTAATGTTAATTTCTAATACTGTTAATTTATTATTATATGACCTAATTTAATTTATGCTTTAGTCACCCAAAAGTAAATTAATATAAACAGGTTGTATTAGTAAATCTACAAAAAGATCTGTTAGCTTCCACTTGGCTATAAAGTTATCTACAGAATGAAATTCTACTTCATCAAAATATAATTCAGACAGACTTTCTGATTCATTTAAGTCATCTTCAACTTCTTCCTCTTCATTTAGACTAACCCATTGATTTACAATTGCATTTCAGTTATTTATGCTTTTAACTATATTGAAATGACTAACATTCATCTGAATTTGCTTTCCAGGATTTTCTAAATCCATATCATTTTCTGATAGACTAATTAATTGCTCTTCTTCTGTGTCTTTATCTAAACTCATTTGTTCATCATTTTCTTCAACCAGAATTGCAATGTTTTGTTTATATATCTTTAATGATTTGTCAATAGCTGCAATGTTTCGTGAATGGATAAGTTCTGATCTTAGTTGGCTCATAGCAAAAACTTTTTTATGCTATTATGTTAAATTATATATATAGTATAAATAAATGTAATAAATATAAAATAGTTAACCAGATATATGTATATATGGGGTCTTTGCCTTGAAAATGACCTATGGCATTATGTACTGTAAGGTCATCTTCAAGACAAAAATCCCATATATCAAACAAATTTACCTTAAGCCAATTGTGTCGTAAAGAATGATACCACCCCATAGTAGAGAATAATCATTCTACTGATGCTATTGTTATGCAAACTAAAAAAATTTAAACTGCTACAAGATGTAATTCTGGAGCAATTCCTTTGCAAAAATTCCAATATTTTAGCATATTACTACCAAATTGATTAAAAGTTTCTTGATTAAATCGGTATTCTTGGCTTTCATAATATTGCAATTCAGATAAAATTAAATTCAGAAATTTATTGAACCAATTTTTATAATAATAAATAATTCAACGTCCCATATGTGCAAAAGAAAGATTATCAATATTTTGATTAAATTGAGTAATGTGATAAAATGGATATAATAAAAATGACAAAAGTAGCAATAGTTATTCTCAGGTTAACCATTACTTTTCTAATTTTGTGATTAAATAATCTCTAAGAGTGCCATCAGAAAGATTTTTAATCACTTGACATACCTAGCCAAAACTATGCAAAACATCAGAAATGGACTCTTATCTCACTAAAGCTTATTCAATGATGCCATATATGGTTTGAGAAGAGTTTTTAATTGCATAAGATTATTCTACTATTCATTGTTTGAAATATAAGTAAGAAGAATTTCAGGAAAGTCATTAAGATCTTCATCATTGCCTTCTTCTATCTTTGTTGCTAAATTTTTAAGAGCAGCACATGTTCTAAAAATACTAACAAAATACAAATAATGACTATTCCATCATGTACAATTTGGCAACACAAAAGAAACATAAGATTTATATAAAGCTAGTTGTTCTGAACAAAGATGATCTAAAAAAAAAGTTGATTGGTTAAAAAAAGATACAAGATGGATAGCTTGCTTTGCAATAGTTGAAAATTTGTTTGAATTTCTGAAGATATCTCCAACACACAGATTCATCTGATGAGCAAAGCAAGGAATAAATATGGTTTCAGGGTGTATTCATCATAAACATTTTCTAAAGATTTTAAAAAAAATTTAATATAGTATACAAATAGTAATAATATACAGTAAAACCTCCATAAGTGCATGCTCTTGGGACTAAACTTTAATGACATGCACTTAGAGAACAATAAGAAAAGGTGCATTTATGGAGGTCATGTATAGATTTGGGCCCAAATTTAAGCATACATTTGGAAAGAGTGTGCACTTATAGAGGATGCACTTATAGAGGTTTCACTGTATTGAATTAGTTTACTTGTATATAATATTACCTTGATGCTTCATATTGAGATACGCAATCTGTGACAACAGCATTAACTTTAATCCTTTCTTTATTTAAATTATTAAACATATCCTCTGTCTTATGCTGCACATCAAACTACCTTGTACATTCATCTGATATATCTTCTGCATTCCAAATAAGGACCTTACCCATTGAAGTAATTAAAATGCTCCCAAAAATTGATTCTTTTTTTATGTTTTTCCAACTGTTATACACTAATGTAACATCATTTGTATCTTTTTGAGCTGCTTCTTGAATGGAAATATTTATTTTTTGTGCCAATTCTTCTAGAATTCAACTACTAAGATCTTTTTGTGAAGGTAGTTTAACTAAGGGATAAAAAAATTTAAAAAATGCTTTTACTTCAGGATTATCTATTCAAGAGAAAGCCCAACCTTATGAGACAGTCGCCTAAAGTAAAAGCTGCTCAAATTGTTTTTGTTGATCTTTACTTAAAGGGCATAAACAATATCGATCAATTGTATATTTTTTATTTGAAAACTGTTGATTTGATGTAAATGTAGAATTCTCTAATGATGATGAAGAAATATCTGGAATAGTATTATTATCAGAACTCTTTTGAGAATCTAAATTAAATATGTCAATTAATAAAAGTGATTTTAAATTATGAGTATAATTAATAATTACTTAACCTTCTCTATTTAATTTATCAGTCTTTTCCAGAATTTCTGCTTGCTCAGATTCACTATAAGTTTGCTTAAAGTAAATACAATTTTTTAAATGGCAGCGAACAAGCTCTTGTGTATTTGCAAACTTATAGTTCATTGTATCATTATATGAAGAGCCCAATATACAAGATTTACAAATACAAAATTTATTACTTTTGTTCGCTTTTTCATCAAGTATAATTATAAAGTCAGTCAGACAATGAGATTGTTTTTCTATACTTTTTTTTAATTCAATTGTATATAATCTCAAATTTTTTTTTTTTTACAAATTCTTTGTGCTATTTATTTGATTTGTATCTTTTTAATTACTAATCTCTTTTCTTATATGTAATAAAATTGAACAATTGAAATTAACCAAAAAAAATAAGATTAGAAAGTAAAATAGAACATTTAGTACTTTAAAACTGTTTAAGTTGCACTATTAATTATTTTAATAATTAAATTCTGAACTTTTGATTATAACTTGTTATATTATTCCAATTTTATGATTAACAGTAAATATTTATATCATTTATATTGTGCCATAAATTATTTAACAATAAGACTCTGAAACCTTTGATTATAACTCGTAAGTATTTTATACCTGTTTATGCTGTATTATCAATAATTTTAATAATTAAATTCTAAAATCTTACTAAATAAGTTAGAAAGAATTTTATGACTAATATTAAGTATTTCATACTCCTTACTTTATACATGACTATAACATTATTTCATTCTATCTCTTAATAATTGTAAGGTTTATTCATATCTGTTTACATTTCATTGTTAGTTATTTAACAATCTAATTATAAAACCTCACTGCATAAGTTAAAGAGAATTTTACAGCTAATAGTAAGTATTTTATATCTGTTTATATTGTTTATAAATGATTTTAATAATTAAATTCTAAAACCTTACTACATAAGTTAGAGGGAATTTATGGCTAATAGTAAGTCTTTCATGCTCTTTATTTTTATACATGACTACGACTGCCAGCATTCTTTAATTCTATCTCTTAATAATCAAAGACACCTTGCTGTTCTTTAATAAGGTTTTATCATGAATTAAACCTGAATTAGTCTTTTTTTATATGTTGGTAATGCAGTTCACAATTTTTAACTATGATTTAGCCAAGTCACATTTTTCATTATCTCATCTATTTGTAATATTCTCAGGGTAACTATAAAATTAGAAGTATAATAGAAAAATATTGTAAAAGCACAGATTTAACTAATAGATTAATTTAGATCATTCTCAAGCACCTCCAACAATGTGCTTACCAAACAAAAAGATTAATCATAAAAACAAATACTTGAAGCTGTGATTAGGGATGGGTTCAGTTAGCTATAAAACAGCTAAGCTGACTAAACCCATCTTTAGCTGTAATCATTGATTTTTTTTTTTCAAAGTTGTGCTGCTTGATTGTAATAGAAAAGATCACTTATTATTTTAGTGTACAAATTAAATATAAAATGTATAAAAATTTAATAAACAAAGAATAATATATTTACTATCTTCTATCTATTAAACTATATATTAAATATTCACTAGTCGAACATATAACAATTGACTTAGTCGAATGTTAGTAAATATCAACCTAAAAAAAAACTAAAATCATCTATATAAAAAAAAATCGTCCCAATTTCCACTCACTATTAGAGTTTGGAACTGGATTTCGCTTTTCGATTCGTATTAAATTTAATTAATAAAAATATGTATCAGATTTTAATCTGAATTTATTCGATAATATTCGGTTGTGCCTAGGTTGTGCCTAGCATCATTGTATGTACATATATATATACATATATATACTTGGTGACAAAAACATCCAATTACTTAAGAACAATAGTAAAATTCTTTTGTTTTTTATGAGTTTGTGCAGATAATGAGAGTATTGCAAATTCAGAATATTGGTTTTATATCTGAATTTAAATCAGATATGAAGGAAATCAGATTTAAATTTGAAGGTCAAATTCGGTTCCAAACTCTACTCACTATTTGGCCTTGAATATTTATATAGCAATTCAGAAGGGAACTAACATTTGATTTTAGGTTAATTACTGAAAAAATCATATTAGCACAGTGGGTTTGCAGAATCATGTTCAAATTAGAGCTTCTGGATTTAACAATATGTAATAATAATATACAGGGTTTATACAATCATATTGTTAAAATCTATTGTTAACATTTATAATTCAGAATATATAATAACACTATCTTTTCTTTTTTGTTTTTTTTTAATCTTCTTTTTTGTTTTTCTTTATTTTTTTTATCAGACTTACATAAGTATATACTGATGTATACTTTTTTTTTGTTTTTTTAGCTTTTTTTCATTTATTTTTTCTTTTACAAATCTGTTTACTTTTTTTTTATTAGTGTTTTCTTGATGTCTCTAGTTTTTTATGTTATTCTAGTTTTTTTGGTATTGCTTTAGTTTCTTGGTACTGCTCTAGTTTCTTGGTATTGTTTTAGTTTCTTGGTACTGTTTTAATTTCTTGGTGTTCTGGTTTTTTAATATCATTCGAGTTTTTTAGTATTCTGGTTTTTTAATGTTGCTCTAGTTTCTTGATATTAACATAGTAATTAGGAAATAATAGTACTATAATAGTTGTATATAATTATATAATAAAAAAAA